ATTATTCTTTCTTCTTTTTAATATTTTTTTGTTGAAAATATAGTTTTTGAGTAATTTTTAACTTTTCATTTTGTACTAACTTGTATGTTTTTATTATATCTAATCCTATTAAAAAATCATATCTGAAATGCGCATCATCGATAATGTAAACATCTACTTTTTCTTCTATTTCGAAAATTTTAATTTTTAGCTTCGTCAAACCACAAGTTTTTTAACACCATTAATTGTAACTAAATTTTGTTCATTTACATTATTATTCTCGTTTTTTAATTTTAGTAATTTTGAATTAATTATAGAAACATTCGAACCTGAATCATACACTCCATATATCTCTAATTTAGAATTTATTATGAGTTTGACTTTAATTAATGGTGTTACTATTAGTTTTTTTGTTTTGTTTCATTTAACTCTGCTTCAATCACTGAATTGTTGACATGTTTTATATATCTTCTATCAAATTTATTATTATCTCTCATTTTAAACTAACATGCAGCCTCTGGATGGTAGCGTATACCTTTATTTAACCGTTCACATATTTTGCATGCAGTACGTTCCTCAATTTTGTTATATATCTTCTGATTTTCGTATCTCGTGTAAACTCCATTCTTATTTTTATTCATCAAATGTTCATACTTTCTTACTTCATTGAATAAGTCTACTGTATCTTCCATTGATTGTCTATTTATCTTATCTAGAACAAAGCCTGGCAATCCAGCTGCAATAAGATCCACTAGAGTACCTGTACCTATTGATGTTCTCATGTCCAGTAAAAGTTTTTCTTTTTTTATAGCATAATCCACCAATGAACCATCCTTGTACTTAAATAACGACGCATAAGTCACTTGGTTCCAGCCTTGATTTGCAAATGATTCACAGAATTTATTTTTCCATATAGACCACTCTGAGTTTAGTGTTAATTTTATAATCATAGAACTATACCAATCAGCGCAACTTTTATCCATGAATAGTCTGAGTATCTCAATTTTTTTCTCATCTTCCGTAATATCGAAACGTAAACATTCTTTTTCAAAAACATCAATCCACTGGCTTGGGTTAGTATTTTTACTTGTAAATCTTTCAATTATAAACTTTTCTGCAATATATTTCAGGTTCTGTTTATTTAAATCTTGTGAGCTTTCAATAAATTTTGTAAATAATTTTTCAAATGAATCTGTATTTTTTCCTAAATTACCAGATGCTTGCTTTTGTTCAATTTCTTCGAGATATTGATCTCCAAATTGTAGATTACCATCTTCATCTATGTACACGTTACTTAGTTCATTTGTCATTGTAATCCAAATTTTTCTCGTCTGATGTCTTTTTTTATAAACTATTTTTTATTTTATTGTACGCAGCTGTCTTTATCAACTCTTTCTGAAGACTAGCAGACTGTAATTCTTCTGGAATAGCAAACACTTTTACATCTCTTGTCGTTATGGAGGTTACACAATATACATTTGACTTTCCATCACTCGCTGGCAACACTGCAAATTCAAATCGTAGCTGGTCCATTTTATAATTCATTTAGGTTTTTCAATAAACGGAAATGTCGTTTTATAAG